ATAATCAAAATACAGTAGATGCAAGATAATATGCAGGCAACAATCGCTCAAAATATGCAAGTTGTTGTGAGAGATATCCACACATTCATTTTTCACTATAAGAAAATATTATCACTTGGTATGTAAAAGCGATCTCTATACTAATAACCATTGCTATTATAAAATGGATTTTATTTCACATTACTATCATAAACAACTATAACAAAAATAGAAGTTTGAATCGCGTCGCAAGCGCAATAAATGGGATTTTTTTTTATACTAGATATAAAATAAGTTGTAAATAATAAATAAATTTTATTATTGATAAATAAATTATCTTAAAACAAAAAAACTAAAATCAAATCTCATACTTCATTATATAATAAATCGCTTTAATCAATATATGCATTAAAAATTGCAGGAGGGTTATCGCTAATATTATCATTAAGATAGTTTGAGAATTATTCTATAGTCATGTATCATTAAAAATATCATTTAACGAAAAGGATTAATATTGCTAAAAAGAAGTTCTCTTCCCAACTATGTACTGTAATTAAATACACGTCGTTATAGCCAGACGTCATTACTATATATATAGTTGTTGTTATAAACAGGGTGACATGTAATAATTGTAATCATAATAATAATTAAATAGAATTACTCTCGAATCAATTAAAAATTAGTTTAAAATATAATCACGTCATTTAAAAAAATTTATAATTATGACCGTTCGTGTTCATATTTTCTATTTTTTAAAAAATTTGTCAAAAAATAATTAAGATGGTGGAGGATAAAGACGAGCTTATAAAAAATTCCTTTAATATTATTTGGAAAGCTACCGAAGGCAAAATAACCACAGCCACTTTTAATACAAATTCATTACCTCTACCTTCTATCCAGTTAACGGCTGCAGGCTTTTTATCAGTATAATAATTACTAGATACGTTTATAATCAGTTTTAAGACTGCCACGTTGCTACCATGTGTTACATATTCATACCCATTGCCTCACCAGTTGTTGCAACAAATTTAATAAAGAGTAAATTACCAACGATTTTTATTTTTATTTTCAACTTACCATGTTTGTTCGTAGAATCAAAATACTTTTTTTTAGAGTTTATCCATTCATATATTTCAGATGCAACCAACGTGCCTTCCGTTGTACATAAAAAATCTATTATTAATTTTAATTGGCCCAACTATACCTAATGGTAAGAGATATAACCAATTATATTTTCTATATACGGATTCATAGTCAAAATTTTCAAATGGTACGTACATAGGTTAAATTCTTATAAAATTTTTCGACAAATGTTCTAATCAGCACACAAGTCTTATGATCATAATATTTTTCTAGTTCATATCTCCGCTGCCTATTTTATCAATATTCTTTTAAAATTCATATTTTTACATGAAATATTTTCGCGTATTATACAGGTATTTATAAATTCTTATAAAAATACATGTGATCTGATTGTTATTATTAATAATAACAAACGCGTAGAAAATCATTACTCTTAAAAATATAAATTCTAAAATCATAATCGGAATACATAATATACATGTATGAAAAAATCAAGTATCTGAAACGGAAAGGTTTAAGGGGAAGTTTCAAGAACACGGAACCCAGTGATGATCACGAATTATCCCCTCGATATAATCACATATTAATTTTGAT